TTAGCCCTTGGGAACAGATGCCTGAAGAATTGAAGCACAACCTACGGTGTGCTTTCCAAAGCTTTTAATCTTTCTGATTTCAAAAAATGTGAGAGTCCCAGGATAGCCTGTACATATGCTTCATGTCAGACATCCTCTTTTTTTTTTTTTTTTTTTTAAAAAAAAGACACTACTCTTGAAAGCCAAAGGGGCTAGGAATGTATTATAAACTCTAGCTGTGATGACATGTAGCATAGCATGGTCTGCTTCAGCACTTGATTACCCTAGATTAACAACAGAGATATTTTGCAATTCACAGAGGGCTGCTCTTCAAAATAAATAGCCAACTGCCGCATGCAGAATGCCTTGTTGCTTCATCAGAAATTCTTTGTCTTACTGGTTTAGGTGGTCCCTAGCCACCATTGATCACTTTTATCAGTCACGCTAGTATGGAGTCTAATTACCACACAGATTAATATTTTTCTGTCCTTCACCTCCAGAAAAGTGAATATTCGAGTTGCTACACAAAGGCTGTGATGAATCATAGAAAATGGTGAAAGAGTATTAGCTCATTAGGGAGAACAAGATCACAGCAGAGAGCAGACATAACGTAGGACTAAAGGAGATGGGGGAAAAGGTTTGTTCTTGACAATACACTTCAAAGCTCAGAGTAAAACTTGAGATTCCTGAATTTGTCCAAACTGCAAATTGCTCCTCTGCAGTCAGCAAGTATCTGTGAAACCAGCTGGCAAAGCGTTTCACCTCCCTCTAGCGCTAGTTCACGTGAAGGATGACAGCCTGTTGCTGCTAGCAGCAATTCACTTAGCTGAAATGCTGGAGACAGGTGAAGTCCATCTAACAGTTTCAGTTTTACTCTTTGCCCATGTTGATGCCAATATAGAATTTCAATTTTACTTTCATTTGCTTCTTAAAAACATAAGACAATTACTTAAAAAGATCATTCAAACTGCAAGTTGGTATGCAAAATTTGGAAAATCTGAGAGTGAAATTGTTTAACCAAGATTTCTTGTGCCTGTGCGGCAAGCTTTGATGATGTGATAAAATACTATTTTTTGTCTGTTTTTCTGGAAGAAAAACAACCCACAAAACCCCAATGAACCCAAACCAAGCCAAGAACTGAGGTCTCTCTCCTTTCCTCTCCCTCATAAATTTTGAACCAACTAGCCAACCCCAACTTCTGTTTCTGTTTTACCAGAGAGGTGGGAAGGGCACAAAGTTCCTACCAGCTGAGTGATGACTGAGGAGATCAGTAGCTTATTTTGTTGTGTTTGCCAGCAGATGAGCAAATGGACATTGATGCAGCTGAGTAGCACTTCGGTGGCCATAATCAGCTACTGCAGATGCTGTTTCCTCTCTGCTGGTGGTTAGGGGGTGAAAGACTGAGCCAGCAGCGCTGCAGGAGCAGAGCTCAGAGGGCACAGGCATGTATGGGGTGGGGGGAGACATGCAGGGACAGAAAGCATTTTGTGTGAAAGGACGTAGGAGCTAGTGTCACTTGGTCTGCTGCCCATGGATTAGCTCATTTCTACACAGTGCTGGCCCCCTTGCCACACAGATAGTTCTGCTCTTAGGAAAGGTGTTTCTTGGTTGTACGCTTTGCTCTTGCCCTGCTCACCTGCGGCAGAAGATGGAAGGTGTGCAGGATGATGAAAATAAAGTCCATCCCCGAGTGACAGGCATCAAACGTCATTGCGGGAAACTGGATTCTCCTGCATTCTGGTCTTTATTCCTTTGTTTGGGATGCTGCGTTGCCTCCTCCAACTTTATTGGGATGGGAAGAAGGGCTGAAACTGGAGGTTTCTGTGCTGGAGTTGTTCTTGCTATTTGCTTGAACTACAGGTAATTAAAGAGGTTGTTGAAACAGCATGATTTGCTTAGTGGTTTAGCTATCTGCAAATGTTCTCCACTTCTTCTTGACAAGTTACCAAACTCAAATGACGGCTTTAGCAGGCTCTGAAAGGCTGTTTGCAATTGATGTTCAACAGCTCCTGTATAACAAACAAATGGGAAGCTTCTGTGGAATATAAGGCTGTTCTTCATGTGGTCTGTTAATTATTTGTATCAGCTTCATGTGCAGATTCAGTGTCTCCTAATTACCTAAAAATCTTGCTTGTTTAGTGATAAATAGTTTTCCTTATTTTAAACCTTCATGACTTAATGATCTTTCAAAAGATGTATGTGTGAGCTCTGCTTGTGCCCTAGGAAAAGTGTTACACGTTGCTATAGTTTCCGTGCTTTGTCTCAGGAAGTTCGGCTGCCTGTACTCTGTCTTCTGAGTTCGGCATGGACTGCAGTATGCAAACCAATTAAATTAAAGAGGGAAATATAGAGAATAAGTGGAAGAGGAGAGACAGTAATATGTATCAAGATCTTATTTCCTCTTTTCTTTCCCTCTCAGTAATTAAATTAAATTACTGAGGTCTGTGGAGATTCATTGATCACCTTCCCATAATGTGATTTTTTTTTTTTCTGGCTTCTTTCTTCCTGCATAAGGCTATTTTGTTTCTCAGTAGTTACTGGGAAATGTTATTCTCCAGTGAGGGCTCATTGAGAATAATTAACCACTGGACAACATGCACTCACATTATCAGGCAGAAGAGGGCACTAAATCAAAAGCAGTATGATTACTAAAACCTAGAACAGAGAAAGAATCCCCATCCCCAAAACCTGGAGCTAAACAATACAGGAAGAAATGAATAATGTATGCTTTTTTTCACTGGAGAAAATTGGCTTGATTTTTTTGAAGTTTAATTGTGGTTTGGAGAAAATCCAAATCATATGGATCCTTTTCATTCCACTGTTGTAGTAAGTGACTAATTTCCAATGCAAAGTATTTGGTGCCGAGGCTGTTATAATACGAGAGGAACCAAACCTGGAGTAACTGTTCAAGGCTTGACAGTTCTTGCCAATGGGAACACAATGAGGCTGGATGTGAATGTCTTTGTTTCCATTTAAATGATTAATGAAGTTCTGTAAAATCAAAATCACTGCAGTCTTGCCCCTTTTCACTTATTACAAGTATCAGCAGGAGGAGGAGGTTACACAAAGTATTCAGTCCTGGTTATAAACAAAGAGAGAAGGACTTTGAAGTGTTTGAAGTTGTTACTTTATGAGAAAAACCTTAATGGCTTGATTTCCACCCTCAGCCCGTTTGCTTTCAGCGCGTCTCTTCCCACAGTCTTGTCTTCCATACCAGTTCTGAGATATCCTCACTCGGGCACCGTCCACATGAAGACATTTACTAATTGCAGAGCTTGCATGTTCCTAAATGAAAAGTAGTTTCCAATGCTGAAATAATATGCTATGAAAGATAAATTTGTCTTTGAGGACAATTCTTTTTTCATTTTTCTTTAAAGCAAAACAGTTGAAAACAAACTAGATAGTCTCCATAAGAAATTTCTTCTCACAGAACACCACAGTTTCCCAAGGGTTTTCCTGTACCAGAAGGGTCCCGTGTGAGCATTCTGTTTTCTGCTATGTCTAACTGAAGAAAATCAACATGCTGTGTACATCCCATGTATTTTCTGAGTGAAAATGAGGTAAAGTCCTCTTTCACGCTTATTCTAACTTAGATTCTTTTTTTCTAAAATATTGCAACTGCTGTATTTTAAAATATATCTAACATACAGCAACAAACTGCTACAGACGTTCCTCCTTCATATCCGTGTAATTCCTTCTTTCTTAAAAGCAGCACAAATTTATTCAAGGGTAAAATCCTGCCCCTGACAGGCTTGTTTCAGCATTGCATTGCTCCCCTGCTCTAATCACATAACTCCCACGTAATTAGTGGCGTTACAACCCCTGCAATGCTGAGGATCAGAAGCTTCTTGTGCTTACCTACTTTACAAGCAAAGTAGCATTGTAGATTTAAGGAAAGGAGGGCGTGTGTTTGTTTTTTGGTTTGAGGTTTTATTTTCTTTTCTTCTAACTTGTAAGCCATTGAGGGGAAATTATGAAGGAGATTGAATGAATTCAGAAAAGATTAGGATTAGACATGCAATTTAAAGGGCTTTACTGTAAAATATAAGCTGCTTTAGTAGCCTACAGCATGAATAAAATCAAGGGGTAGACAGGAAGTTTAAGTAAGTTTGAGTTAAGCTGACACTAGCCATGTGCTTCATAGCACAGAAACCTTGCATTCGGGGGCAACAAGAAGTCTGAAACTTTGCCTTAAAGCTGTCAGATCTGGAATTCTTCACAGATGGAACCCTTACTTATCTGGTATTTATGCTTGGCAATAGAAATATGTGAATCATCAGATCTCAAGTTAGGTTCCGTATCCCTGCAAAAATAACTCCAAAAGCTGGTGAGCCTTGCTTGTGCGCGCCGAGTTAACCTGATCCCCAGCCTGGGGTCAGGAAGGTGTATTCCCCCCTGCCCTGCAGGCAGGAGCGGCTGCGGGAGATGGGATGCCCACCCCTGTAAAATGTTAATACCAATTTGCTTTCTAGGATCGACTGGTTGATTGACCAGCACCTTGCAGTGGCAGGGATTTAAAGCACTGGTGCCATCCTCCACTACTTGTCTGTCATATTTGTGTACCTTTTGTACACAGTATTATAGGACTTGGGGAAACATTTGTCGCTTTGTCATATATGAAATAGATATCCAGTGGCCCTTTCTGGACTCAGCTTTGGCGGTGTTGCTGCCTGTAGTTGCCTGGGACTGGTACTAAAGATCTGTTCCAGTCATCAGTAGCGTCTCAAAATAGCCTTCTCCATTTTTGGTCTGTCCAACTTGGTCCACTGCATAAAACTCCGTTGGCAGGACAGATGAGGAACCGGTCTCCTGACTTTTGTGTCTGCTCTGCACTGGGGTACCGCGACTCAAGGATGTGATGCTGTCCAGACTACTGCTTCACACCATTCTGAGTGATATTTTTCCACCAGCAATAAT